AAACACTACACATGAGAGAGAAAATTCTCCCGCTCAGTTATTTGTCCGCTTATCTTATACGGAGTATCTAAGAGTACTGCGTATGAGAATGAGAATTCTCTCGCTCAATTATTAGACTGCTTACTTTATTCATAAGAATACTTACGTATGAGAGAAAAAATTATCATGTTCAATTATTAATTCGCTTATGGTATACCTAAAAGCATTATATATGAGAGATGAAATTCCCTCGTTCAATTATTAGTCTGTTTATCTTTTCTTATACCCAAAAGCACTACATATATGAGATGAAATGTCCCCGCTCAAAAATATATCAAATTTCATATTTGTTTATTATCTTTCATATGACACCAATATTGTATATATAAGTATATAAATAATAATTTAACTCTTTAATAAAACTCATGTTTTATAGTGTTATAACTTTTTCATTTGTCCAGTTTACGATCATTTTTTTCGTGCACATTAATCTATAGTAATATCTTAGAGTAAAATTGCAAAATTTCCAGTGCAAAGAATAAAATAGTAAATAAAAGTGATAAAGTTTGTGCAGATTTATTATAAGTTATCGCTTCAGATTAATAGTGTGCACGGTAAAAAAAGATCATAAACTTCATACATTAATAGAATTTATATTTTTTTATTTATATACTTCCTCTGTCTCTTAAAACATTGTCAAGTTTGATCTGCATGGAGAATAATAAAGTAAAAAAACTGTGTAATTGATTAGAAGAGAAAATGGAAAAGTTTTTGGGACAATAAAAAAAGAAAAGATGACAAAGTTTTAAGGGACGGAGGAAGTATAAGCAATATTAGTGTCGTATGAATGATAATGAATTATTTGTCCGCTTATCTTATCTTATACCAAAACTTTTTCATTTGTACTTCAAGTAGTATTTATCAAAACTTTTTTGTATAAGATAAGATAAGCGGACAAATAATTCATTATCATTCATATGGCACTAATATTGCATATACTTCTGCCGTCCCTTAAAATTTTATCATCTTTTCTCTTTTTATTGTCCCAAAAACTTTTCCATTTTTTCTTCTAATCAATTAATTTTTAGTTCCTTTTATTTCTCTCTCCTCTGCACAAATTTCAATTACACGGTTTTTTACTTTATTATTCTCTATGCCGATCAAACTTGAAAATCTTTTAACAGACAGAGTAAGTATATAAATATAAAAATATAAATTCTAGTAATGTATGCAGTTTATGATCTTTTTTTTACCGTGAACACTATTAATCTGAAGCGATAACTTATAATAAAACTACAAAAATTCTATCACTTTTATTTATTACTTTATTCTTTGCACTGGAAATTTTGCAATTTTAGTCTAAGGTATCACTCTAGATTAATAGTGTGCACGAAAAAAATGACCGTAAACTGGACAAATGAAAAAGTTATAACAATATAAAACATGAGTTTTATTAAAGAGTTAAATTATTATTTATATATTTATATATACAATATTGGTGTCATATGAAAGATAATAAAAAAAATATGAAATTTGATATGTTTTTTGTGACAATCAGATTACAAATAAAAAAGATGTAGTACTTCAAAAAATTAGGGGATTTTATTTGATTGGGAGCCATCATTTATTTTAAGAATTTTAATCTAGTAAAAGAGGTGAGAATAGTACGACTGATTTTTTTTGGTGAATTAGCATAGAAAGCCACATGTCATTCTTATATGAAATGAGTGAATTGATGAGAGTTTGACACATAGGATCTATTAAGGGTAAAACTGTATTTTAACGGGTGGATGTGGATGAGCCTTAATCCGATCCACCCGATAACCCGTTCATGATGGATGGGTTGGATATGAATTTAATTTTTAATGATGATGGACGGGTGTGTGCACTACTCCAAAAAGGGTATACCACGTCGCACATATAACGTCAGTTATTCAAAAACTGTCGTTAAAGCATCAATTACGCCGGTTTTTATTTATAACCGACGAGAAAAGGTAAACAGTTGACCCTCATTAATACATTAAACACCCGTTATTTTGGAACTGACGTTATAGCTACATTTTTAAAATTATTTTTGGCAAGGGCCAGGTTAGATAATCGAGCAACGCTTATAGGTCTTCTATTTATATATAAAAAAAGAAATAGCTCATTAAAATACAATTATGCCTTTATTGAATCTTATGTGTCAATCTTTCCGCAATTTGCTCATTTCCTATAAAAATGCCACGTAGCTTTCTAAACTAACTCAACAGATAATTTGAGCCGTACTATTCTCACCTCTTTACTAGATTAAAATTCTTAACAAAAATGATGGCTCCCAATCAAATAAAATCCCCTAATTTTTTGAAGTACTACATCTTTTTTATTTGTAATATGATTGTCACAAAAAACATATCAAATTTCGTATTTTTTTATTATCTTTCATATGACATCAATATTGTATGTATGTGTGTGTGTATATATATATATAATACTTTAACTCTTTAATAAACCTCATGTTTTATAGTGTTATAACTTTTTCATTTGTCGAGTTTACGATCATTTTTTTCGTGCACACCATTAATCTAGAGTGATAGCTTAAAGTAATATCGCAAAATTTCCAGTGCAAAGAATAAAATAATAATAATAAAAGCGATAGAATTTGTGCAGTTTTATTATAAGTTATCACTTCAGATTAATAGTTCTCACAGTAAAAAAGATCAGAAACTGCATACATTAATAGAATTTATAGTGTTATATACAATTGTGCATGACTAAAACGGGTCTAATCAGATATACTTCAATGAAATAAATGTTGATATCTATATATTATATACTACCCCTGTCCCAAAAATACTTTGCCATTTAGTCAGTTTATCTTCTTATATTTGAAAGCACTACACAGAGTTATCTCACTCAATTGTTAGGAAGCTTATCTTCTTATCTTCACAAAGTTATCTCACTCAATTATATGAGAAAGGAACTTAACTCGCTCAATTGTGAGCGGACGTATCTTATACGGAATACTTAAAAGAACTACATATGAGAAAGAAAGTTATCCTGATCAATGCTTATTAAATTTATCTTCTAATATCTAAAAGCACTACATATGAGAGAGAAAATTCTCCCGCACAATAAAATTGTCCCGTTCAATTATTAGATGTCTTATCTTATACTTTAAAAAACTACATATTAGAGACAAAGTTCACCCGCTCAATTGTTAGCAACTTTATCTTCTACTCCTTAGTAATAATAATATAATACTTAAAAGCACTACATATGAGGGAGAAAAATCTTCCTCTCAATTATGCTTTGCGGGTTTATTATTATGAGCCCGTTTGGTGACCCCGTATATTTTAATTATAATTTTTCATAAATTGGCAAAATCAGTCGTTTCAGCCAGAACTTCATAAATTTTAGCGGAATAAAACGATCCAATCAAGTTAAGTGCTACCAAATGAGTTCTATGAATAATATGAACTTTTGATTGATCAATTCACTGGAAATAATATTAATATTAATAACACACGTCCACCCTTTAAATTTTCATATTCCACACACTCGTCTATCATCCATTAAAAATTAAATCCATATCCAACCCATCCATCATTAACGGGGTTATCGGGTGGATCGGGTTAAGGCGCATCCACATCCACCTGTTAAATTTTCATAGTCATGCCAATGAGGCTCCCACTAAAAATGGTAATTATATGTTTAATGGTAATTAATACCTATTATTATTAGATGTTTTTCTTAATTAATTACTTACTAATACCCCTTGTGTTCCTATATAAAGATTTATCTTTTAATTATACTTATATTGAGGAAATATTTTTTTGTCTTTTGATATTCTAAAGTGCCTCTTTTATTGGGGTGAATTCTATGGTAGAATACACTGCTTTGACACTGTTTAAATCTTGTTTACATTGTGTTGTCATTATTATTTAAGGGTAATAGAGTAAATCGATATAACTTGTTTACTAAATAAGGAAGGTGGAATTTATTTAGGGACATCTACAAAAAGAAAGTGGGACATTTATTTAGTGACGAAATGAGTAATTTGATAAATTTTGTGGGAAAAAAGCAAGATGCACCATATCTTAATGTAAAAATGAACATAACCACAATCAATATAAATGAACGTGGGGAGCGAATCAGGTGAGAAGTGCTCTTAGGCTGAGAACTGCGAAGTTAACTAATAGACTAAAAACACGAACTTTTAACCACAAACCTTGAAAATTTTTGGACGCGGTGACATTTTGGTAATTATGATGGAGAGCCTTATAAGTTATGATTTATTGGTCATAAGTTGCTATATTGAGTCTATAAGTTTAGTGCGTTGCAACTTGCAAGATAACATGCAAATCCAAGGGTTGAGATTACTTCTCACTTCTCATTTTAAGGGACACTTCTCACCTGATCTTTTCTCAATGAACATGTATCATATCTTCATGGCTGCGGAGTAGTCAAGTAGATACATGCACCCATTATAAAACAAATATCGTCCCTCTGTCCAATAAAATTGTTCTCACTTACTTTTTTGAGATGGCTCAAAAAATTCTTCTCGTTTCTCTTTTTGAAAAGTTTTATGTGACTGATTTGGGAATATATGTAAATGATTTGAAGTTCCATGTGAAATCAGGTCGTCATGCAATATGTTCGTATGGAAGCTTCCTAGTAGTTAAAATAGGTGTATCGAAGGAATTTCAAATTCCAAAATATGACAATTCGGGAGTAGGGATGGACTGGGACGGGTCGGTCCACCCCGGGACCCGGCCTGGCCCGATACTGTGGCTGGGGCCCGAAGCGGGAGGGATTGGGGCGGGCTACGGGTTTTGAAAATTGTGGACCGGCCCAACCTTGCTCGGACCCGGTCCACCCCTATTCGAGAGTACATTTTTACTTCTATTCAAAATAACATCTCTTATTCAAAATAACATCTCTATACTCCCCCCCCCCCCCCCCCCCCCCTCCGTCTGTTTCTCTGTTTGGCATTGATATCATAGATCGATTCATGTTAGCCGACCTCAAATTCTTTTGGGATTAAGGCTTGGATTTTATTGTTGATGTTGTTGTATGAACAACCAATAAAATAAAAAGTGAAAATTATACGAAGTATTATTAACCACCTGAGCTTATATCATAATTATTAATGCAACCTTTCATTTTCAAAAATCAATTAGTTACCCCCTATGTTTTGATCATTCTCACCATATACCCCCTCACGTTAATATTTGTTAAATTAAACTTAATATACCTCTTAAATTCAATGAAAGTTGTACATAAAATTAATTTTTAAATTATAATACAATTTATTATCATAATTATAAGTCATTGTTGATGATGGTTTGCTTTTCTACTTAACCTACTACTCGATCATTGTTTTAGGCACTTCTTCATTATAAATATAAAAGTCTTATAATGGTTTGCAATGACATTTCTTTCGTGTGTAGCAAAGAAGAAATACCAAGATTTTTTTATCATTCCATAACCTAAAAGATGGGTTTAGAATAAGGGACCTAAAAGATAAAATGTGTGATGATTTTGATTATTCTAACTATTTCATGATCTGAATAATTCAAAGCTCTCAATCTAAGACCTAAAATATAATAGATTTTAATTTATTAAAATTTTTTATTAACTCTATTACTAATTTGTGATGATTTTATCTTCACAAAAGTTTTTTGAATGTAAAAAGTTTATTAGTTTTATAAGATTAAATGATATTTAATTTTTTAAAATAAAAATATTAAAAATTTGAGTATGTAATTCATGAATTATGTGATTTATCCCCGAGTTTTAATATTAAAAATTTGAGTAAAAATATTTATTCCACGATGAAGTAGCTAAGTAGAAAAATAACGACCAATAACAATGACTTATAACTATGATAATAATTTGTGTTTTACATTTAAAACTAATTTTAGACATTTTTCATTGAATTTAAGAATTATGTTAAATTTAAATTTAACAAATATTAACGTGAGAGGCAAAGAATGAGAATGATCCAAACTCGGAGGTAACTAATTGATTTTTGAAAACGCGAGATTGCATTAATATTTATGACAGAAACGGAGGGGGTTAATAGTAAATTTCCCAAATAAAAATACACACACTTTGCCCTGAAATATCTCCAGCATAGGGCTCTGACTGTATAAATACGATTGTAAAGGATAATTTACTAAATAAAACGAGTACTCTCTATTAGTCTATAAAAGTCACACTTTCATACCGTATCATATTTACTTTTCTTCTTCCATGCGTTGAAACTCCACACGTCCACTGTTCCACATACAGCATAGAAATCAACCAAGTGGTAATCTTTTGGACATTTGGTCAATGTCCAGTCTTTTGAAAACGATAAGTTTCGTTTTTCAGCTTCGTAGAAGTTTGGGGCCAGAATTTGAAGCCATCCATGAAACTAATGCATCTATTAGCATATCAAGATCTTTGGGTATTTCAGGACGAAGGACATTTGAGTCTCCGCTGGCTAAGGCATTGCCTACTTCTTTAGCTAAGGTTTCCCATGGCGTTCCCGCAGTCAAATTCGCCAGAAGCTCCCCACTCTTGTTAACGGCATTCGTCATTGCAGGTGGTACATCTGGGAGAGCCTGAAAAATGTGATCTTACCCATGACAAGATTTATCATAAAATGCAGGGTTAAATACCTTTTTTCTGTTCCTCTGACAATAGGGGGTTTTGCAGAATAGTGTCTTTTTGAAGTTTTTTACAACTGAAGCTCGTTACTTTCTGTAATCCCGCACACACATACATACACACACAAAAATACACCCACACAAATGTATGTATGTATACAAACCTCTTCATGATAAGCGTCATCTCATAAATATCAACTTATAATCCCCACCCTCAATTTTAATACTCCCTCCATCCCAAATTCATAATCTTGTTTCAGATTTTGAGGTTTGAGGATGTTTTTACTTGGACGGTAATTTGTTGGTCTGGTCTGGTCTGTTTTGGTCTGGTCTGAAATTTTATTTTTATATTTTTTGCATAAAGACTTTATTTTTTATATATATTTTATAATCCATAAATAATTATATTTTATTCATTTATAATTCAAAATAATAATATTCCTTCCAAAATATCGAAAATTGTTATCGTTTTACTTGGTCTGATTTCAATCCCTGACCGAAGCAGATCAGACCAGACCAAAACAGAACAGACCATATCGAACCGGAATAATAATGATAATGATAATGATAATTATAATAATAATAATAACAATAATAATAATAACAATAATTATAATAACAATAATAATAATAACAACAATAATAATAATAATAGTAATAATAGTAATAATAATAATAATTAGAGTCGTGCACTATCCGGTTTAAACCGAAAAACCGGACCGAACCGGACCTGAAAAACCAGAATCGGATCGAACCGGAATGATATCCGGTTCGGTACGGTCCGGTCTGGTCCGGTTTTGAACCGGTGCACACCCCTAATAATAATAATAATAATAATAATAATAATAATAATAATAATAAGAAAATATGGTCTGGTCTGGTCTGTTTTGGTCTGGTCTGGGACAAATTACAGTCCAAGTAAAAACAACCTGACTGATGGAAAAATTAACTTTTCCCTGAAAAAATTGTATGTATAGTTTACAATTGAAATTTATATATTTAGGACAACAAAAAACGTATTGAATCAAAAAATTAAGTTGAACATGATGAGAACTTGATGCATAAAATAAGAGATTAAAGGTGAATTGAGTTGACCAGTGAAAAATAAAACAAGACTATCATTTTGGGAAAGAGGTAGTAATCAATAGCAAACTATCATGAGGTGAAATTTCATAATTTTCCTAAACTCAAGGCAACAATTTTGTACTACCTATGTCCCACTCTAAGGTTCTCATTTAAAAATGAGTCTTTTTAAGATAATAGTTAAAAAGGTAATTTGAGTATAGTTTAAGAAGTGGTTTGAGTGAGTATATAATATAATAAGGCAATTGGTAATAATGGGTGATGCTATGGGTGTATTAAATTTAGTGAAAATTCCCGAAATAGGAGTAAAAACGTTTTAGAATTCCAAAATAGGACTGTCATGTTCTTATTCCCTAAATAGGAGTAATTACCGCTAACTTTGGAAAATACTGTCATGTTTAAAGTCTGGTATTGCAAAAACATTACAATAATACTCCTATTTAGGGAATAAAACATGACAGTTCTATTTTGGAATACAGAAAAAAATTAAACTCCGATTTAGGGCAATTCCTATTAAATTTTATATGTGATGATTAAATTGTCATTTAAGAGAGTTGACTATTTCCTAAAATGGAAATGAAAACCTTTAAATGGAATGTACAAACAAGGCAAGTGAGAACCTTTACATGAGAGGGAAGGAGTAATTATTATATTTGTTAAATGTTAGAAATTGATTAAAAAAGATAGTGTAGATTACAAATTCAATTATAAGATGTGCTTCTGAGTTGTGATAAGAAGTACTCTCAACAACTCTCTCATATATAGATGCCCTCATGCATACATGCTCTCATACGTACATACGTACGTACGTACAAACGTACGTACGTACAAACGTACGTACGTACATACATGCATATTTATTTATTTATTTTATTTTATTTTACCTGGTGTAGAGGAAGTCCATGGCCACCGGGTAAAGATCGAATAGACATATCCAAAACTGAACTGATGGCAGAATCCGTACTAAGCAGCTGAGCTAGTGCCGATGTTTCATCAATTGTGTCATCTTTGAACTTTATTAAGAGATTCCTTGAAATGCCATAGTAAGACTTTATCTGTAGATGGGTTACCATCATATGATTGGGTAAGGTGATGAAATGCTGCTTTTTCATTGTTAATATTATGAATAGCATTGAGTTCAATACATACACAATAGAGGTTGGATAAACAGCAAAGAAATTGGGTCATTTATTTAGATATGTATTTGTAAATGTAGATCCTAACAACATCACATAAAAGCATGATCTATATGGATTTTTCAACTAATGATATCAAGATTTTGCTGTCTGAAAATTGTATATTGCTTCATTTATCGCTAACCATGAAAATCTTGACCCTTCCTAAATATTTTAGCCTGAAACTTTTAGTAAGCAAAGGAACAAAAGACAATCCTGATTTTTTGAAATTGTTTAGCTCAAATGACTGAAGTTGCTGAAAGTACGGCTGGTATTTCTGAATTTGTCTTAACTTGATGAATTATCCAAAAGAAAAATTAAAATAATTTTCTTAAGTCCAAGCTTGTTGTATTCTGCATGTATGCTACTCAATGGCTATAAATAAAGGTGTAGTCTAAACCTACAGTACAGGCATGTATGTGAGACCATAAATGTCATTTCCATTCATTCCAACAACATGAGCTAAATAAGCACACTTTGTGCACTTTTCACTTATCAATTAATTCCACTAGGGAAGCAAATTAACTTGGTGATTGGGAAAAAACAGGTTGATAAGGCTGGTAAGTATGAATAATGGCATAACAAACGACCACAAAGTTTTGCTTTTGTAAAAGGGACATATACCAAACTACCAAAGGGTTGATGAATAAAAAGTTAAGCATATAAAGAAGATTCTTCACAGTAAGTTTACCGTACTTGTAAACCTATCAGAAGCTGTCAAAATAGTCGAGACATAATTGTTTCAAGCCATTGAAGAAGACAGGTCAATTATAGGTGTGATCTACTATATGGCGATAAATACTCCAAAAATAAACATCTAACATTAATTCTGGGAATTTTCCATACCAGTCTTTTTGTTTCTTCAGGCCTGGGAGTAAAATTTTCTCTTCCATTAATCAAGTCCATATATAAAGGAGGAAGCTGTTCAACCAGGGGAAGTACTTGCTTCATAACAGTAGGGCTAAGAGTCTGTAGCTGCTTTAGAGTCATCGCTGCCTGTAGATTTAAAACAAGGTCAGCATAAATACTTTTTATTTAGCCTCACACTGCCGCTGCATGCGGATTTGAGGAGAAAAGTATGAGATAGCAACCTCTTCAATGTATAAACCTTCATTTGGAAAAAATACTACTCCGTAGTAAATTACTGAGACAGTGAGACTATGTTTACAACGTGGAAGATGGTAGAGAAAGGGAAAAAGGAAAATGAAAATAGTTTTTTTCAATTAAATTTTGGGAAAATGAAAATTAATAATCCAACCTTTTAGCGATCTTCATTCGTTGGTCCCACTTTATCGTTATTCATGAATAATTCAACCTTTGCACCCCATCTTCATTCGTTGGTCACTGACCAGTTGATGACCTGCTATTCCAGGTTTTTTCATTTTCTTTGCAAATCATTCAACCATAAATCCCACTTTTCATAAATCTTCACCAAGCGGTCCCACATGTCATTTTTCTTTTTTCTTCCTAAAACTTTTCCTTTTTTATTTTTATCGTCTTGACTCTTTTATTCCCCCCTTTTGTCTTCTTATTTTTATTTTTATTACTTTTTATTTTTTTTCAATGTTTGTGTATTCCATTTTTCCTTCTTTTTCTTCTTCCCGTTTATTATTTCATTTTCATTTATATATATATTTTCGGATTACTTTCCTTATAAAAGATCTTTTTCTCACCGTACTAACTTTTTACTTTATTTTCTTTTTACTTACACTTATTTATTTCTTTTTTCCTTTTCTTACCTTTATTCTACCACTAGTATATATTTGAGAAAATAGCCCCAAAATAGGACTAAATTAATCCCCAATGCACAAATAGGACTATGTTATTTATCTTTACTAAAGTACCGTCTATCTTCTTATTCTAAATTTCTACCCTTACCATAACTTAATAGGATAATCATATTTTACATTATAATAAAATACCGTCTATCTTCTTATTTTACATTTCTACCCTTACCATACCTTTCTTTTTATTTTGTTACTATATTTTTATATATTGAAATACCTTTTGTTATTATTCTTTTTTATTATAATGTAAAATATGATTATCCTATTAAGTTATGGTAAAGGTAGGAATGTAGAATAAGAGGGTAGACGGTATTTTATTCCTATTTTGGGAAGATAAATAACATAGTCCTATTTGTGCATTTAGGAATTAGTTTAGTCCTATTTTGGGGCTTTTTCTCAAAAATATATTAGTGGTAGAATAAAGGTAAGAAAGGGAAAAAAGAATATAAGTGTAAGTAAAAAGAAAATAAAGTAAAAAGTTAGTACGGTGAGAAAAAGATCTTTTATAAGGAAACTAATCCGAAAAAATATATAAAAATGAAAATGAAATAATAAATGGGAAGAAAGAAAAAAAAGGAAAAATGGAATACATAAACATTGAAAAAAAATAAAATAATTTGAAAAGTAGTAAAAATAATAATAAGAAGACAAAAAAGGAGAATAAAAGAGTCAAGACGATAAAAATAAAAAGGGAAAAGTTTTAGAAAAGAAAAAGAAAAATGATATGCAGGGCCGTTTGGAGAAGATTTGTGAAAGGTCGGATTTATGGTTGAATGATTTGTAAATAAAATGAAAAAACCAGGAATAGCAGGTCATCAACCGGTCAGGGACCAACGAATGAAGATGAGGTGCAAGGGTTGGATTATTCATTAATAACGATAAAGTGGGACCAACGAATGAAGACCGCTAAAAGGTTGGATTATTAATTTCCATTTTCCCTTAAATTTTTTGGGTTTACCTTAGAATTTGCAAAGAAATATAAAATTTGATTTGAACATTCTGAAATTTTACAGATATCTATAATCTGTTGTTATATAAAAGGAATACATAAATAAGTTCAGAACAAATGAGGTAGTTCACATAGAGTTACTTGAAATCCAGCAGGTATATAAATTGTACACCAAGAGACAAGCAATTAAAAGAGCATTTCATGAATAGTAGTACTATCCTCCGTTCCATAAAAATTGCAACAGTTTGACTTTCACGTTTGTCAACGTGCAACTTTGACAGTAATTATATTTATTTATGTATTAGTAAACATTAAAAAAATTAATATATTGGAAATTTACATTAATACAAATTTATTAATATTTTATACATAATATTTTTATTATATATATTATTAGAAAATCGTAGTCAAAGTAAGGTGTGTGAATAGTGCAGAAATTCCAATGTTGCAACTTTTATGGAACGGAGGAAGTATTAAATTGCCACTACACCTGTATAAGTGCTGATCAAACAAGCCAAACGCCATCCTATTTGTTCGTAGCAGACAATTGACAGAGAAAAGCCTAGTAATACAATACACGCACAGCAAACATAGGAATCTTTACAGTACATTTGGGGTATCTATATATATATAGTAAATACACACACACACATACTGTAATCTTCTAATGAAGGGTGTAGACCAAAATAAAAAAGAAACGGTTTTCAAATGGGGTGATAGCAAATTCTGTCTAACAAGAGATATCTGGTTTGAGATTTGAAGAAAGTGGTGGCATACATGTGGTGCGTCAGAGGAATTTTAAGGCTAGATCGCGCTGAGACCCGAACCTGTTGGTTATAATATGTGTTGCATAAGAAAAAAATTGTGTGATGAGCGCAGATCAGACTACTTGCACTGTGCTACTCTTAGCATTGTTTTTAACATTTAGTTCTGATAACATCTAAATTGTGTAATTCCATCGCATACGCACGCACAATCACAATAATTAAAGAACTTCATTCAGTTAATTATAAGCCAATCTCTGTAGAAAATATCACAGGGACAGTGCCAAATTTTTATTTCAAATAAATCTCAGTTGAAGGACAAACAACCACATAAAAGACAAATCATATTTATTTTGGAAATATCCGATTAAAATTACATATGCAGTTTTGCTATTGTAGAAAGTAGAAACTCTTACCCCAAGACGGACTGTTGGTGATGCTGCAATTTGTGAAAGAAGTGGTTCAATGCTTTGAGCCATTGGTACAAGGAATGGGGAGAACAATGGAATTGCAAGGCTCGCATCCTGAAATTTATTGAAGCTTGAGTCAAATATCTTAAATCACAATTGACTAATTGTTTAATACAATAAGATCTAGTACCAAGTCTTTAAAATAGAAACCGTACACACTGAAAAGAGTTATATACCAATCCAAGCTATCTGTTCTCACCCAACATTTCCAATACATAATGGATCAGGCAATTCCTTTACCCAAATCATGAGATATAATCTGAGGGAGATGCCGGGGTGAGAGAGAGAGAGAGAGATGGAGTTTGAATAACTAAAATCATCCCAGGAATTGAGGAGTTCATTGAAGCCACACAAATTTTGGTTCACTTGTACTTCGCCTCCCAAAAAAAGTACAGTGTCATTCCTAGAAGAAGCATCTTCTGTTCTCACTGGGTCCAGAAAGTCGGAAAATGCCAATTTAGACACTTTAGAGTTGAAAATGAGGCATCTTGATGAATCTCACTATTCATCTTTATTCAAAGATGAGACCTTGTAGAGAAATTAGGTAAAAATTTGCATTTTCTCCTCCTGCCAGGGCCAATACACATTTCACCTAATTTGGTCCAAAAGTATCTAATCAAGAGATCGTCACCATCTTTATCCCAAAAAAATGGAATTTTGGAAAACCACTTTTAAACCTCCCTGACATTAAAAGTTCATAACTTATGCAGTTATGCTACATCTTATAGATTCCTTATCAAATTTTCCTGAGCTAATATCACAACTATTATTAGCCAAAAAAGTTTATTCAAAACAAATTTGTTAACTCAAGCCATTAACTACCTTACCCTTACCCCACCGTAGGTGGGAGCCTTTACGGCACTGGGGTAATGATGATGATGATGATGATGCCATTAACTACCTTACTGTTAAACGACATTAATATGTTTCCACTTCTCTGAACAGCATACCTTGAACCTGATTGAAGAAAAATTGTTATAAATTGCTCGAGATCACTAGTTCTTTTACATATTCAAATGATCCATATAGCAGGTATACTTCTACATACCAATCAAAAGGTGAATAACAGAACCCAATGAGTGACCGATGCCGAAAACCGGAAGATCTTCTACCTGCAAAGCACAAACAATAATGACAATGATAATCCATACTCTATTTTAATGCATTAGGGGTAAATACAGTCTTGGATTTATACCATATGCATGATCGCAGACGGAGGAGTATCTATCTTAAGGCTATGGTGGGCTGAAGCACATGGCAACTTAAAATTTTTTCAATTTTTTTAGTATAATTTTTTTCATTTTTCATGTTTGACCCACCCCGCTAATGTATACTGATAAGTCTGTATTTCAACACGCATTTGATGCGTGTTCAGATCGGTTTTTGATAGTTTTCCTAGCTTAAATGTGTCACAAGGCTCATAATTAGCTCAAGTCATATTTTACCGGGTTTTGGGTTTGCATTTGATGTTTTTAGAATTAAAAGCAGGAAATTGAGCCCGACACCGACATTGCCACTGCATTGGAGAATTAATCGGAAGGACTCGAGACACATTTGAGAGTTATTGAGAAGCATTGAAGATCCACGATTCATTGAAGGAGTGATTTTAAAGTCAAAAGAGCTCAAGGATCAAGTATGAGATCAAACGGGGATGAATAGAGCTTGAAAACGGCGATCAGGATGACGTTCTGTCAATCGTTCAAGCATATCTTTTTGTAGAAACATCCAAAGTACACGATTCAAGTTCCATATAAAAGCTCACTTCAAGGGCTACAAATCATACGAAGACACCATGACGAGAATCTGAGAGGAGCAAGGTGAAAACAGACGAGGAAGTCAGATAATCTCTGTTGAGATTTTCAGGATGCGACCTTCCACCATTTTATTCATGTACTTTGATTGGATGATCCAAATCCAGTTTTGCAAGTTGTAATAGATAGAAGACTTCATTAGCTACAACTTTGGTGAAGGAAGCATAGTCAAATTCGGACGGGAAAGGCGCACGCTGTGCGCCTGAAGTAAGCACGCCGTAGAGGCTACTGGAGGCCAGGCACGCCGTGCCCGCCAGGGAGGCACGCCGTGCCCGACATTTTTTCCGCCCCCCAGGTGTCCTTTTACTGATTACCCCGGAATCAATCTTTGTTCCCTATTGTCATTAATTAGAAAGAACCCCTTAATTTTATCTATTTTTTCGCATTAGTTTAAAATGGCTCACTAAACTGTCTGCGATTCTTTGTTATGAAGCAGCAGTCAGTCCATGCAATTTTGGACGGGATTTCATTATGGGTCATTCGGAAACAGTCTCTCTGTGCTTTAGTACAGGGGTAAGACTGCGTACATCCGACCCCCCTTTACCCCACCGTAGGTGGGAGCCTTTGCGGCACTGGGGTAAATGAAAATGATAAAAATGACAAATCTCGCACAATTGAATTTATTTTACTTATTTTTATCGCAGAATTTATTTAATTCTTGATTCCCCTTTTCCGTCTCTGTGGAGACGATACTCGTACTTATACCCTATAATCCTACATATTTTTAGTGCGAGCAAACTCACATCATATACAAACAACAACAACAACAATACCCCAGTGTCGCAAAGGCTCTCACTTTAAGGTGGAGTAAGGGGGTCGGATGTACAAGTCTTACCCCACTAATGTATAATTACTCTTCAGCTCAGTCCAACTCAAATTCCTCAATCCGCCAAGAAACAAATCTTCCGCCCAATATTATTTACCCCATTTGACAAAGTGGTGAATGAAAAAAAATGAACCCTTGAGGTGATTTAACGGTCAGAAGCACTTATGGCCTGACAGTTGATAATTGAAATCAAAATACTGTAGAGGGAATATTGGATTATACTGCGTATAATATTAAAAAATGAAAAATTACTCGTTTTTTAAACATAAAACTTTTAATGGATAAATGAAATGATGCAGATGGACAAAACGATTCATCTCTAAAAAAAGTAGAGATGATGCAATGGAAAGAGAGGGAAAATGGCTTTTATGACTTCACAATTGCTTATTTTTATTGTACAGTATAGCTATAAACCATACATCATCTCTTAAAATGAAGTTTTCTTATTTCTTGCATCATATTTTGATCACATGTAGATGACATATGTTTTCATGGGTCATCTGGAAACAGTCTTTCTGTGTTTTAGTAGAGGGGTAAGAGGGCGTACATCTGACACCCCTTAACCCACAATAGGTGGGGGGCCTTTGCGGCATTGGGCTAATGTTGTTATTTTTGTTGTAGATGACATATGTTTACTAGTCATAATAAACATAATAGTATAAGTAATTGTCTGTTGTCAGCAAGAAAATGTTTACTCACCATCTCCTGGAGAAACCGAAAACACCTGTCAAATTTGAACTGCACTTCATCTGCAATCAAGAAGTGATCAAAGCCACTAGCATAAGGGGTGGCAATAACTAATATACCCCTGCCCAAAACATAAAAAGTTAGTTACTTATTTAGTATGTCATCATCATACTTTCAAGTAAAATGACAAAACTTGGACAGATATCGTGGATCACAAGCACACAAGACCCAATAAATATTTTCACGGCAAGGATAAGGACATCGATAAGTGTTCAATACAGTGACTTGGGCATACAAAAGGCATTTAAAAAAGCAAGAAAAAAAATGAAAGTATATAAATGAATAAGCTAAAAGTCACCATCATAAATTCATAACCAAGAACAGATAGGAGATATGTTACATGAAAACACTCAAATACGGATGAGATACTCACTTCTCAGCGAGGCGCTCCAGGAATAAACGGTAGGTAAGCTGAGGAGCAGCCCCAACAAAAACCCCTCCAACAAAGTGTACAAGTACTTTAGGTTTTGTGTTTCTTGGTTTTAAGACCCATGTTCCCTGACATAGTTCTTGCAAACCATTAAACATTGTTTCACAACTCCCTCAAAAAAATGCAAAACGTTATCTATTGAATTATTTGCTTCATGATAGCCTTTCAAATGGAATTGCATTAGATTGCCACAACTTTCTTCACAAACAAAATCCTTAATGAACTAGCAAAGAACCCACCACAAAACAAGTCAGCACCAAGTAATCACTACATTAAGTTGTAGCCAATCAAATTAAATCAATATGAATAACATAAACAGAATATGGCTGTTCAAATGATTAAGTGCATTTGAAGCATCACTACCCATTAGCTAATTTAGCTAGAATCAGATGGGAGTTTCATAAAGGCTTTGATGTAAATTTGACTGCATATCATGACGAACTGATTCAAATAAACATGAAAAGTGGAAGGAAGTAGCCACAGAAGACTCAGATGCTTCACTTTCAGATATAACATTATAGCATACGAGACAGCTCAGATTCTTAACTTTATCGTTTTCAGTTCAGTACCTCAACTTCCTTCCAGTCTTTTGAGGTACCCCGAGCTTCTTGAGAATGTTTCACCGTATCTGTGAGTAATCTGTATGTAATAAAAGCGTAAGCACACACTACTGTTCTTTTTTCAGGGCAGAAGCCGAAAGACCAGCAGTAACGAGGCCACATTCTCAGCAGTTTTATTTAGAATGCTTTTATATTCAATAAATCGAACAGATTGCCCTTATTCTATTATTAGCAAGTCAATTTGTGAAAGTCAGAAATAGATAGAAGACCTTTCAATATTCCGATAAAGCTGAATCCCGCTTCTTTCCGGCTGAGTGTTTCTCGTACTATCATTGAAGCTTCCACCACATACGATTATGTCGCAGCGGCGGCCAAAACTATTGTTCCTCGTAAGCAGCCGAGACATTTTACTGATACGGATGCGACGCTTCTGGAGCAAAGAAGCAGAATAAGCGTAGGGGGGATGAACATGACCATGTACCTGCTGCGCGCATAGCAAGCTCTCCATAACTCCGCCCTTTCTGTCGCCCACACAATTCTGCCTCTTGTTCACAGTTTTCCTCCGCGCTACAGTTTGCGGGAGGAAAGAAGTTTGGGAGTGTTTCGCGTTTGTTATGCTGATCAGCCTCAATGAGCATTCAGTATATGATGACACATATTATTGACTTGTTAAAAACGCAAGTGCTTGCTAAAATGCTTTCTTTGTTTACAAAACTCGTCTACTTTTGGTTTAGTTTAAGGATTTACATACAAAAAAATTAACAGATATTTCCATGCATTGACATAATTATTTAAGTAAAAATGGCATCAATATTACTTCTCAAGTTTCTAATTCAAAAAAAATGAATGATCAAAAAAAATCAAAAAATATGATTACTTTGATTTTTCCCAAAAAAGTAACCCTCACATCATTTTCTTTACCGCACAAGACCTTCATCGAGAGGCCCTTCTTCTTCCTCTCATGAGTCTCATCCAAACCGGGGCTCAAGGTATCCGGCGATTTCAAACGCCATCCCATGGCTACGCTTCAACGCCACCGTCGTCGCTGCTGCTCCCCTCCTCCATCGCTCTGTTCCTCCGTCATCTTGTCTGGTATGTGCCTTCATCGTCATCGTAGTTGTGAACGTACTAGATCTAAATCTAGGGTTAGGTGTCGGCGACGGAGCAAAAACAGTTGTGAAGGTCAGAGACGGAGAAAAAATAACTGTGAAGGCTAGCGATGACTTTGATTTGGGGCTGCAAGTTCCGGATCTGTCAACCTAGGTTGACGGCAACTCGGATTTGGCGCATTAAGTGTCGGATCTGTCGGATCCACCGTCCTCGAAGTCGGAGCTCGGTGTGAGGGAACGACAGGGGGCGGTGCAGGGGAGGGTGTTGGGGGCAAGAAAGAGGGGGTTACAGGACTGGGTGGGGTTCTGGTGTGTAGAGCTGGGGAAGGGGAGGGGCTGGATACAAGTGGGGGTTGTGGACGGGGAAGGGGTGGCAGCAGTGGACGTTACAGTGGCGGTGGTTGGGGGATGGGCAGGGTGGCGGTGGCGGCTTTGGCTAGGTAGCAGCCTCGCAGGATGGGTAGAGTGTTGTTGCTGGTGGTGGAACGGCAGAAAACTTTCCAGCAGCCACTATGGCCGGTGGACGGGCAGTCTCTGTGGTCGGTGGGCGGGTAGTCACTGTGGCCGGAGTCACTGTGATCGGAAGTCATTGAGGCCGGAGTCACTATGACCGGAAGTCACTGAGATAGTGACGGACGACGGCGGTGCCGGTGACGATGATGATGCTGGGGTCGGCGGCCACAGAGGTGTTGGTGGCTGCAAAGGAATATTATTAAAATAATAATGATAGAGTATATGGGCCTAGACCCCATGGCCCACATACTCAGAAGATTAAACACAAAAGACCGTCACCGTGTGGCGTCGCGTCGACCAGATGGAACCCCATCGGCTGGAACCAAAAGAGCTCAGATCACGGACCAAGAGCCCAAGGCAGAAGTGGGTCTCCCATCGACTTGGTACCCCTTCGGCTTGGCACCCCTTCGGCCTGGTACCCGCATCGGCCAAGAAGCTCTGTGAGAATGTTCTTTACACAATTACACTTAGACAAAGAAATCATGTATACAACTCATTAGTGGCCCTATTATGCCAAAAGAGACCTTATTATTGTAATGGGCTTCCTAAGCCCAAGGCTAGGAGCCCAACCCCACAATTACTCCTATAGATAGCCCTCTAGGGTAGTTATAGGAGGTTGAGAAATATTAATTTCTCACTTCTCTCTCTAGCTCTCACTTCTCTCTAGAATTTAATACTCTATCATTTGTTGTTTTCATTGAGGGCTAGAACATATCAAATGAGTACCCATCGTAGCTACCAAACGCGCTCGACGAAATGGGAAGAACCAAGTCCAAGAATGCCCTCAGCAGAACTGTCCCCGAGCCTCAGGAGGACCAGGAAAGGGCCGATCAGCTCGTGGTCGACAATGTGGTGGAGGACGAACCCGTCCTAGAACCCGTTGACCCCGCTACGGACCTCCGCCACCAACTCAACAAGACCGTTCCTGATGCTCGCATTGGACTGGACAACAGGCGCTCGGCTGACCGCGCATCCGCTCAACAAACACCTCTTGTTGACCCCCAACTCCAGGCCGCACTCTCGGTCATCATTGCAAGTCTGGCCCAGAATCCCACCGCCTTAAGCGCTCTCATGCCAAGGACGAGTGAGAACAACACACCTAAGACTAGGGAGATTGCAATAGCCCCACCGCCTCCTCCACAACCTCATGTTGTCACCTTTCTCGGCAACAATGAGAACGTCGCCGCTCAGGACACAACAACCCACACTACCTCCCCTCCTCGTATAGAGTCGACCTCAGTTCGTGGTAAGAACTCGGCCTTCAACAGGCTGGGTGACATGAGTCGTCGACCTATAACGGGAAAGATGACGGAGTGACTATGCGACCATGAACATGGGTCACTTAGGGAGAGTTTGGGGTCCATCTCCCGGACAGCGGAACAGCCCCGCACAGACAACGGGAAGGGCAAACTGCACGAAGAAGATGCTCACCACCAGATTAATCAGGCCCAGGCGGCCCGCATCCAAACTCAACCAGGGCGTCGTAGCGGCCGCAAAAGACCCGAGGGACGAGATGATTGCTCGATTGGAAAAGCGTTTGGCCGAGATGGAGGCACGACAACTCGCGGGTAACACCGCGGCCAACATCTCTCACCCTCCCGACTACGACGCGATCCTACACAAGGTCAGCGCTCTGGAGAGGGAGTTGGCTGAAAGGCGTGGTGATCTCGTCATTCAGGTCAGGAAGAAGACTCCATTCACATCAAGGGTGCTTTATGTCCCCATTCATGAAAAATAAAGAGGAAACCCGATAAAGCCTTACGACGGCCGCACCGACCCTCATGAACACTTAGTTGCTACCAAAACAATATGCTGATGGTGAACGCTTTGGATGAGTATCTATGCTGATGGTTCCTCTCTACTCTTGAGGGACCAGCGTACGTGGTTCAACGCGCTACCAGAAAGCAACGTGGATTCATGGCAAGACCTAGCGCAACGCTTCCTTACCCACTTTGCTGGAAGGAAGCGCGTGAAGAAGCGTTTCTCCCATCTCCTAACTATCAAGCAGTAGCACGATGAGCCGCTCCGGATCTTCCTGGACAGGTGGGTCAAGGAGACCAACGAGGTGGAAGGGGCAGATGACTGCACCCTCCTCGTCCTCCTTAAAAGCGTACTACGAAGCAGCCCATTCTCCAGAAGCCTCATAACTAAACCACCCAGATCATACACGAAGGCACTCCAGAGGGGCGGATTGTACGTCGATGCTGATGAACTGCATTCCCACAAGAAGGACAGGAGGTAACAAGAGAAGAAGAACAATCACCCTGACGCCCCGACGGACAAGCCGCAGGACCAACACAAGCAGTCTCGCCCCGGTTCAGAAGGACAACACAGGGATAAGCGCCAATGGCGTCCCAGGATCAACGCACAACGGACCCCCCTCACACATTCGGTGAGCGTCATCCTGGACTACGCGGAGGGAAGCGGCCTCGTAGCTAAAGACCCCCGCCCCGCACTAGAGATATATGTCGTCCACCAAGGTGGAACCTACTGCCGATACCATCACAATACCACACATAACATTAATGACTGCGCCATGCTCAAGAAACACATATAGCGTCTTATTCAACGGGGAGAACTCCCATTTTGTTAAAGGTTCCCCATGAAGCAATAAGGGGGGGAACACTGGCAAAGGGAGAGGGGAATCCTCGGCGAAGAAGCGAGAGATTGGCATCCTCAACAACGAAGAAGAATGCAAAGAGCCTCAGCCGAAGAAACATCACATCTGGTGAAGTACTATCGATGATCTGAAGGTCAAGAGCTCAAAGTTGAAGCTAGTGCCTTTTTTCGTATCGTTGATAGGCTAAAACACCCCCGGCCCTGAGCCACTTATCAATAAAACATCGTATTCCTCTTATATTATGAATCAAAGGAAAACACGAGAAAACGTCGCTTCGGCCCCCTCAACGGTGAAACACCCGGGGAATGGTCGACGACGTCCACAATGAAGGGCCAACATGGCCCTAAAAAACAAACAGGGGTACACTACTGCATCATCCGTGCATTTTACGCATAAAATGCAGGACGATATACCTGAAAGAAGGTCGAGGTAACAAAAACTCCCCATTTGAGGACATTTCTATGGGACCAACCATGATAGCCGTCGAAAATTGACCAAAAGTCTAGTCACACGTCATAAATAGACAAGAGATGGCCCCCAAGGTACGGGCAATGCCCCATTAGCCGAGGGAATAGCAAACCCCTCGTCTTAGCTCACGCGAACAGCGGAGGAACGGACAAAATCGGGGAATCCCGAAACCGACCGAGAGAATAGCAACCATTGTGGATCAAAATGTGTCGACCCTCGACCCCCTGTTGAAGATGTGCATTGCTCTACTCCTTTTCACCTCATTATATGTGCCTCAAGGAGTGGGGGACTAGAAGAGCGGGAGACTTAGCGCCTCCGTCACCATAGAAGCACAAAATTCAAATTCTTCACAAAGATTGCCACACGCACCGACGACAACCTCACATCATACGCATAGCCCCTCAGCCCCAAGAGCGGTAGTGACGGTCTCTGGCCTGCGACCTTCGGCTGAGATTCTCCCACATGGTTGCTTCAGTCAGGGCTCGCCAATGAGATTGGATTATCGGCTTGGGGAATCCGAGCGAGGCGCCTCGGCGATGCCATAAGTTTACTCCACCTAACGCTGACAGATCAGTACATAGCTCTACTCCCTTTCGCCTCGAGTACTCTCACCTCAGGCAGTGGGGGACTGGGGGACTACATCAGCCTCCAACCACAAGGATGAAATTGAAAATCCAAGAACGCACAAGTACACAACTGCAACAACATCGTATCATCTATGCACCACAAACATCTAGGACCTTGTGGTACACCCTCGGCCGCAGCAAAATAAGCAAACAGGGAAGCAAAGCTCAACCACACCACCCAGAACGTGATACGTGTCGTCCCTCGACATGTGGAGTTCCAACGGCCTTGGGTCATATGCTCCACCCTCGGCCAGGATAAGAAAATAACACCTCAACATCCGCAGTCATGTAGTCCCCCTTCGTCCAGACCATCGCACAAAGGAAGGACACACATCATCCTCAGAACTAAGGACACACATCGTCCAAGAAAAACGACATCCATCGCCCTCAACGGCTAAACGCCAAATGAACGCCTACGGCATCAACAAGAGAAGTGGGTGACTCTACGACGGCCAGACGCAAGGAAGAAAGCAAAACCACAACATCGAACATGGATGGCTCCTCATCGGCGAGAAGCACAAAAGGCAGCCAACAACAGCCAAAGAGATGTCATGTTACCCTCACGACTGAGACTATGCATCATCCTCAAAATGAAGGACAATCACCGTCCGCAGAAACAAGGCACCGCCTCGGCCAGGAACACTAGAACTCCCAGGTAATCCTCCGTCGGCCAAAAGCATCAAGGCAAACAGAATTACTCCCTTTAACTTTGTTTGCATCTTAGCTCAGAGAGTGGGGGCTCATGATAGAGTATATGGGCCCAGACCCCATGGCTCACATATTCAGAAGATTTAACACAGAAGACCGTCAACACGTGGCGTCGCGTCGGCCAGATGGCACCCCATCGACCGGAACCAAAAGAGCTCAGATCACGGACCAAGAGCCCAAGGCAGAAGTGGGTCTCCCATCGGCTTGGTACCCCTTCAGCCTGGTACCCCTTCGGCTTGGTACCCGCATCGGGGAAGAAGCTCCGTGAGAATGTATCTTTACACTTAGACAAATAAATCATGTATCCAACCCATTAGTGGCCCTATTATGCCCAAAAGAGGCCTTATTATTGTAATGGGCTTCCTATGCCCAAGGCTAGGAGCCCAAACTCACATTTACTCCTATAAATACCCCCCTAGGGGGTAGTTATAAGAGGTTGAGAAATATTAATTGCTCACTTCTCTCTCTAGCTTTCACTTCTCTCTAGAATTTAATACTGTATCAAATAAATGTATGATTAAATACAAAGAATAAATGACTTTTGGTCACTTTTTGGAAAAATTTAAAACAACCCACTTTTTTGTCTTTTTCATTCATTTTAGTAATATTAGAATAAAAAATCCATTATTTAATATTCAAAGCATCTTTCATAACTCATACAGTCATACGCATCATCATTATTAACCATTTTTACTAAACATGTGATACTTTATGCCACGCATTGAATTATATACCGTAGTAAACAAATGTACAAAACAAGTAAAATAAGCTTTAATGTTAATTTTCTAACTAAATTAATTGAAATTATTTAATTTTTTTATGTGATTTGTTCCTTACTTTATTGATGCAGTGTTATTTAGATATTTTTTCATAATACAACCGCAACAAAATATCTCTAATTTCATAAACTCAACAAATTCAACCAAATCCCTATGTATACATCTTCTTACATGCATGGCAGAACCGCAGAACTAGGTTGGTGTAATTCTATACACATAAATCCTTAATTTCACACAAGTTCTGTACAATCAAGACTTAATTTTATATGATACAACAAAGTCTTTAGTTTTCATCTCTTCATTTTTTGGCTTTTGAAGATTTAAATCTCATGAATTTTAATATATAATTATGTTTTCTACTTCATTTGCCATCACTTTGCACACTTGGTAAATTATTGTAAATAGATAAAAATCCTATATTGACATTTGACAGTATCTATGTAAAATTAACAAATGGGCAGTACCAGGTTCATTTCACACAGAGGTGGATTTGGGCCGGGCTGGGTCCGGGTCGGGCCTAGGCCCGGGCGGGCCGGCGGTGCTGAATAGGTGGACCCGGGACCGGCCCCGGTAGGGACCGGGTCCGGGCCGAGCCTCGGGCTTGGTTTTTTTTTTTTGCTTACCTACCTATCCCTGACCCCCTCACCCCCCCATACCCCCAACCCCTCCTAAACATCAAGCCCAACCCGGGTGGAGCCCAAAAACATGAAAAAAAAATCAATTTGGCCGGAACCAGGCCCAGCCGGGCCAGGCCTCCTTTTTACAAACCCGAGCCCGCCCCGCTTAGCCTAAATAACAGGGCCTTATACCGGTTTTGGGCCCGAAGAACCGGGCCAGGCCCGCACAGTAGCGGGCTGGGCCGGTTCCCGGGCCGGGTGGCCCGAACCGAGTCCAGGACTAATTTCACATGACGATATTCAGTTTTCAATTTTTAGTTTAATAATTATTGTATGTTTTCACTAGAGTCAATTCTAATTTTATAACCTATTAGACATGAATAGGCTAAATAAAATTTAAACAAATCAAACTAGATCAAACGTATAACACAATATTTTTTACCATACCAGTCCAAACCAATTTACACTAGTGGAGAAAATTTAACTCCAAGTGTCTGGTAACCCGATAAGCCTTTATAATACGGATTAATATATACATACTCATGTCCGAGTTACTTGCAAGATACAAAATGACAATAAAAAATTATCACACTAAAAAATTAGGTATACATGAGTACCAAAATTTTCCCTTTAGATTTAGCTATTGGAGGCTGCTTTTTATCAAAACCAGCAGGCGTATATCAAGTGTAAAATAAAGAGAAGTAAAACTGGGCAGGTGCATCATTCAATTCCTTGAATACCGCCATACGCCATACACCATACTGGCAGTTTCGATGCTTTGCCAATACATTGAGCTGCCCAAGCTGCCTGTGATGTCATATCTAAGTTTCTAACCCTGGATAGCATTGACAAGTCTCATACAAAAACTCAGCATTATGTTATATACACCACACCTAACAATAGAGATTACACTTGCCCATCTACGTCCAAAAGGTTGAATCCCCAACCCCAAGGGCCCCTCCACCCCGACCCGACAGGATGGTGGGGGAGTAAATCACGGTGACTCAGTCGGCAAAGCGGCAGTAGGCCTTTACCCGTGCGCACCAGAGGGCCAGCCTTATTTCAGGTTCTGAAAACCCCCTTTTGGCGGCTGCGGGATTCGAACCTCGGTCTACGTCCAATTTTTCCCACCGCTCGACCAACTGAGCTACCCGTGCGGGTAAATTAAACAATCTACACTTGCCCATCTAATTAAACAATAGCTAGTCATTAAGACTAATCTTTCTGAATTGAAGCTGCGAATATAACTTATGATTCCTAATTTAAGGAAGATTTAAAACTAGAAGGCTGCAAATACAATCTTCATAGGCTATCCTTAATGCCAATCCTTATATTCTGCACCTTTATTGAAAGTTTTTGTCTATGGTCTTCTATATCCTTCAAAACTGAAAGGAGGTTTGCACGGTAAACTTCACATTTTCTATTGGCGATAATCAATTCATTAGAAAGTTCATGGATCTTCCTGTCCATGTCATCCTACAAAAAATATGTTTCTAGTTTAGTCGAGACAAATAACCAAAATTATGTAGAATACACATCAATCTGACAAAACATTATGATAAGACAGGCAATTGTGGTAACAATACATGTGAGAATGTACTAAAGCCTTTTATATAACAACGGCTAGGGGGGCATCTCCCAACAGTGCTTATTTGCAAGAGTTCCATAGGAGTAAGGAATGATATTGAGTACTCCGTTGGCATTTTTTTTGTTTGCAATGCTTTCCTCTGGGCCATATTTTAATCTTTGCAACACTTCCCCTTTATGGAAAGTTTTATCTATTAAAATGCCTAAATACCCTTACCTTTTACCCCTAATTACCTTCTCTCACCTACTCTATCACTTTAACTTCCCTTTCCTACTTTATCACTTTACAGTTTACACTCACTGTACTATTTTTCCCTTAAACATTGTGCAAAAACCTAATGTTGCAAACAAAAAAATATGGAAAGAGTATCGAGTTTGGGTTTGGATCAAAGGGAGGGGGGAGAACATTAAAATCTTCTCAGTTCCAACTTTGTTTAACTAAATAAGGGAAGCAGGGAATATTTCCTATCCTACCTTTGAACAAACCATATACCTACCTTAAGACAATGGATAGACAATGTGATGATTCAACAGTTCTCAGTGTACAAGAGGGAGTGCTCCTATATATGTCTATAGGCATTGCCCCCAACCCCCAAAAGGCCCGCCCTTAAACAAGGGTTATGGATGTCAAAATATAATCACTGTTTTAAACAGGACCTTTGTTACTCTCCATGGTGAAAGCAAATTCTGCTTTCTTAAAAGTTATATCTGAGGTATAGTTCATACCATCGTGACTCGTGAGCACATTATCCATTAATTGATTGCAAACACTATAAGTAAATTAACACAGAGATAAATTGTGAAATAAGGATCACATGAATTGATGAAAGCCAGCTCCAAACAGGCAGGAAGTTTAGCTAAACTAATTAGGGCTCCTAATTTTTTAAACTGTTAGGGGAACTTCCTTGATTTGTTAAATGGCAATCAAATAGCATTTATTTTTGTTGGCAGCATGTAGATGCTGAATGAGCCTTTTCATAGCACGTTCATGAAAAGGCTATAAGTTAATTTGCACTTCTGGTCTCCTACTTTAATTCTTTTCCACTTGTGGAGCACAAATATGGATTGTTTACTGCTTTTGGTCCCTAAAGGTCACTTATCCAGCAAAACATGAACTCAATTTGTGAGGAAGTTCGCTGGGGAAGTGACCTGAAGCGGACTATAAGTGGGAAGAATCCACAGACATGTTCCAAAAAAAAAATGAAAGTCAGCTACCAAAAGTGAATGAATTAATTGTCTTGGGACCAAAACTGGAAAATATTATGTTGGTCATTGCACACAGCTTCAAAAGTGGATAGGGAATTGGGCAATAAGCCAATAACTGAATGAACACCAACCTCAGAGGGTAGCTTTGTGAAGGTCACATTCTGATCCTCGACGGCATTGGTACCCTCCTTCGTACCATCACTTTTTGATTCACTTTGGTTACGCCCACTCAAAAGGGAGATCTTCTCATTTGCTAGAGAAACTTTTTTTGAAGCCTCACCCAAAGCAGCCATAGCCACACTATAAGTGTGATCTGATTCCGCCCCTGTTTCCACAAATTTGAAAACCTCGTGCCTCAACGTATTAAACCGAACAGTATGTGATTCCAAATATCCACTCAACGAGCCTGGAACTTGTTCCTCAAGTGTAACAAAGCTCTTTGCACTCCTCGTCCATCTCTTCAACACATAATGAGAGGGAAGTGTTGGAACATTTGACACTCTGAAAACCGCCAACACATGTCCACATAGAAGACCTGAGAACTCAAACATCTGACAACTACATGTGGCTTTCATCTCAAGAACATTAAACTGGACATAGTAAGTTTTTTTCTCACCAAGAAACTTTATAATTCGGAACTTTGTCACATCCCCATTGTCCTCGACCTTGGTTGCCATGAAAGAGAGAGTGTCGACCAACTCTTGCTGGAATCTCATGAATATCTTCCTTGTGTAGACCTCAGATGCTTGTTTCTCCATAGGAGAGGGGGTTTTCAAAGCAGGAAGGGCATTCAAGGTATCATAATCGGCTTTAACCTCCTTCTCCAGGCGACTTTCTAACGCTTTCTCATACAGTTTGAAAAACTGGTTTAAATTGGTTGATGCATTCACATACCCATCAAAATAAGAGTTCATGCTATCACTACGCTGAGTTATAGACATTTCAGCAAAAAAAGAGTCACGCAGATAAACAGGAACCCAATGGCTACGATCTGAGTAGATGTATTGAAGCCAATCGTGATCCCTTAGGTCATATTTATCCACCAAAGAAAACCAACAAGATTCATACTCCTCTATGGATTCCGTCAAGTTAACACACTTGTGAAAGTCTGCTTCAAAATTAGGATACTTGAGAAACACGTGAGACAGCCTCTCTTGGCATTTCTTGAATATATGCCACTTGCAGAAACGATGACGAGTCTCCGGGAAGACCTGAGTAATGGCGGATCGAATCACTTCGTCATGGTCTGTTGTGATTGAGAGAGGGGGTTTACCCAACATGGACGAAAGCCATGTCTTAAAAAGCCAAATAAATGACGCTTCTGATTCATTTATCAGGAATGCACAACCAAACAACACCGGCTGGCCATGATTGTTCACTCCGGTGAAAGGTGCAAACGGCAATCTGTACCTGTTTGATCTGTAGGTTGTGTCAAATGTGACTGCATCCCCAAAATACTTGTAATTTGATCTAGCCCTGTGATCTGCCCAGAAAACATTCCCCATGAATTGATCATCTTCATCAGCTTGAACAGCGTAGAAGAAATCAGGGTTTTGGGCATCCATCTGTCTCAGGTAATCAAGGAGGAGTTGTATGTCACCTTCAAGGCTCCTCTGGCGATTATTCCTCATGTAATTCCTGCAGTCTACCTCTGTAAACCCAACTTTGCTAATTCCACCGTACTCTTTGATAAGGGCGGACATGATCCTCCGAGGCCCCATCCCAGCAGCCTGCAAGGTGTCTATGAGGGTCTTAGCAGGACCAGAGATCTGACGGTGGGAACGAAGGCAGTGGACCTGATCAGGAGGGACCAACTCGTGATTGTGTTCTCTGACCAAACTGGATACGACCCATTTGCCCGAATCCTGTATTTTGACGGACAGGGCCGCCTTGCATCCAACCCTGGTGATTATGCGTGGCCGTTTGATTTCTCTGTCCTTGGTACGCTTCTCGTTCAAATTGCGAAATCCCTCTTTAGAACAGACGAAGGATCTCTGTATGATAGCCCCGTCTTTCCTGGATCGACGTGATGAGCTGACCCGGGTGCTGAAGCCAACACGGCGTGCGTACGAGTTGTAGAATGCCTTGGCTGCCTCTTCTGATTCGAATTCCATACCCTCGTAAGGTTCCAGGTCGAGGTCCCCAGAGGGGAAGTATATCCTATCCACAGTACACTCTGCATCGTTGTTGATTGCGTGAGAATATTCAGGCACAATTTCGTCATCCGCCATGAGTTTTAGAATGACATCTCCATCTCCATCTTCGTCTTCACTCCCGCCTCCGCTTCCAACACCGATGTCGAACTCAATTACCTGGCTCTCCATCTTTGCAAAGAGATTCAGCCCCTTGTGCAAGGACTGTTTCAAATCTATACTACAATACCAGCTACTGTCGGAGAAGAAAAAACATGACTTGAAGGGGGTAAAGAAAAGTACTACCTGGTTAATCGAGACCAATTAGAATATTGTTTCATAAGCTCTGTAGGGTATTTCCTCCCATTTCCAGTGACGCTTCATCCAAACCCAGTTGCTCAGAAGACATCAATCATTCAGAGAGGGCGAAAAGTTACAATGAGAGAATGGAATAGAAATTAGATTTTCAGAGCGGGAGGGAACTGTGTGTGGACGCCTGGATGGCCTGCGGGTTGAAGAAGACTGGACGAGGTGTGGCATTACAGTGGCACGTTGTCAAAGGTGTGGCATCTTGTTCCTTTGGTCTTATTCTTTTTTTGAAAATGACTTAATTATTACTCCGTATTATTGATAAGTAGTAAAAAAACATTTCTAGTTGAAGTATCTTAATCATAGCAAATTAGCAATCAATATTACATTAAGGTGAGATAAAGAATAGAACCCTACAAAAATGCTCATTTCGTTGATTATATAATCATGTAGACTCTATCACTGTGTAAATGCTCATAGCCTCATAGGTTTGATTTTACCCTCCACCGAAGAGAAATTATTAAAATTGCTAGTTTTTTTAGTCACTTATACGGAGTTAAATGCAAAAATTGTCTCGGTTTCATCATCAACCACAAATAAAGCAATACATATACTCATGTCTTACTAAAGTGACGGTAGTTGAGGAGGGGGACGATTGATCTCTATATTAGCACAGGAGAAATCAAATTCATGATTGACGAAGAAATTAGTACAAATCTCTTCCTAGTACACAAGAACGTCTGACCGATGATAGTGGGGAATATAAGTTTGATAAGTGATACTCTGCCACTGAGAATAACATCTCTAGACAATGTTTGAGAATAAACATATGTGTTGAATAGGAAATACTGATAAAAACGAACCATTTTTCATGATTGGGGCCAAAAATTTGAAAGAACAGAAGAACAGAAGGGGTGGCTAGGGTATCCTCATCGCTGCTCCTCTTTCTTCATATAGCTTTTTTATTGTATTCTTCTTATTTCAATACTATGTATTATAACACTAGTATTTCAATACTATGTGTTATAATACTAGTATTCCAATACTATGTTTTATAATACTGGTATTTGAATACTGTGTATTATAAATGTTAATCTATAAATGCAATTATGGTCACAATATTTTTTATAACGCGAATGAGAGTAAATATTACTACCTTCCTCCCCTTGAAATGTTTTCATGGCAAAACGACATGATTATTTAGATAATAATTAAATAAAGTGATTTGAGTATGTTTTGAAAAATAATTTCGATATGTATATAATATAATGAGGTTAGTGTTGATAACCGTGATGTTATAAATGTATTATTTTTTATATCTAATGATTACATTATTATTTAAGATTGGTAATTGTTTTCGAAAATAGGAACGAGAATCTTTATATGAGACGTCTAAAAAGGAAAGTAAAAACCTTTCTATGGAATAGAGGGAGCAATAAATAAATAATAACAAATACGAAGTATTAAAAGTTATTTAAAAACATAAATATTAGAAGTTAACAAGCACGTATTTTACAAATTATTGAATGTTTCTTTATGGGCGACATCTTTCGCGGTTTTTTCTTATTTCCCTCTTCAAAATTTCCCTTATAATCTCATAAGACACATGCATTGCATGTGTTGTATTCTACGCGCACATGCATTGTCATCTCATAGCACACATTGTCAATGATCTCATGGCACACATGCATTGCATGACTTGTATTCTACACGCACAAATAAAATGATCTATGGTGTGCCTTTGTTGTGTAAAGCAATTACACAACAGAGTTTGAGTATCATTGCGTGTTTGAGTACACCTCTACATAGCAAGAGCAGGGGCGGACCCAGGGCCGATCCTAAGAGTTTTTTTGGTCTGAGTCGAGCTGAAAAAAAAGGCCCTCAAGAATTTTTTGGGAGGAAAGTTCATGTCCGGAATTTCGGAGAGGAACCGCCATCCGGACGGCGGTGTTTGGGCACCTTCCCGGTGAATTTTTTTGATGAAAATTTTATTTCATGTTTTTCATCAAGTCTAGTTTATCCACAAAAAATCTCAGCTAAAAATTCGATCAGGAAGGCCGTCAAATGGTTTTTTAAAGATAACTGGGCCAAAATATACACATAAAACGCAGTTAACTTCCAAAAATTATTTGACGGTCTTCCCGGTTGAATTTTAAGCTGAATTTGTTTGTGGATAAACTAGACTTGATAAGGAACATGCCATAAAATTTTAATCAAAAAGTTTCGCAGAAAAGGTGACCAAAGGCGGTATTTCCTGTCCGGAATTCCGGACATGAACTTTCCTCTATATAAAGATAACTAATAAATTTTTGGGGCCCTAATTTTTTCCCCAAATTTGTGGGCCTGAGGCAGTTGCCTCTTTGCCTCACGTAGAGATTCGGCCCTGGGCGGACCCAGGAAAGTCATCTTGGGGGCGCGAAAATATTTTTTGGGGGTTCAAAATATTTTTTCGGAGGGAGAAAATTATTTTTCATATATATATACACTAAAAAAAATTCTTGTTGGGGGAGCGGTAACCCCCCTGGGTCTGTACTACGGTCCGCCTCTGAGCAAGATACGTTTTAATTAATAATATTTGACTCTTTATAAAAGAAAAATAATTTTTAGTAAATAATGCACTTTTCTCCATTTAAAATAGTTGTGACTTGTGAATGATTTGTAAACACACATACGGAGTGTGTATTTGTGCATAAATGTAATTATCAATACTGGAAATCAAACCTTCATAATGTAAGATATAGATATGTTAGAAAAAAAGAATGATAGGATGTATTCATGAAAAGGTATACCATAATAACTACATAATTAATTTCATAACATAAAATCAATATGTATTCCAAATTACAAAACTACAGAAGTCAACTCAAGATAGAAAAACACTGTCTTCTTCCACCCATGAACATCACAAGTCTTTATTGTCAGCTTCCAGCCACTTTTTATGCCCCTAAAAATACATCAAAACACATCATCATCACCGATTAAAAAAATGAAATTTGATAAAATGCTAAAATAAAGTATAAATTACCGATAAAGTAAACTGACGTGCTAAAAGAATCTAAATAAACCAATGAAAAGTGAACAAAAGACTATATGTGGTCATAATTAAAAAACACTGAGATTGAGAAGTTTACGTTGAGAGAGTCTCTCTCTAGCCATCCGCTATTCGTAAACCTCCCAGCTCGTTTCTTGCGTTTTTCTTACGATTCAGCTTCCTTTCCACCATTTTTGTCCTTCTTTGAGCTTGTAATTTAGCTACTCTACACTTCTACCTTCTTTGGGGTGTGGATTCTCTAACTTTCGAGCTAAGTTTGGGTGTTTTTGGCTGGTTTCCATCGCTGTTCTGGTTCGAGGTTACTATTCACGATTTCAGGTCAACGCCTATATCTCACGCTCCTCTTGATGAAACTCGGATTTGAGCATGGATTTGGCTTCCCCTCTCCCTGAGGATTAACCTTTCCTACTTTTTTCCATCATCAACCCCCGTTTTCAATTCGTCCGTACTCGTCTTCTTAGCTGATTTCAAGGTGTGAACAGTCCACTTTTGACATTGTTGCTTCTCAAGATTTTCTTCATGTGCGAGGTGGTGGTGACAACTTGATTTCGTCCTTTTTTTGGTCATTATGCCGAAAGGAAAAACCAAGAAGAAGGCCACTCCGCCCAAGAAAAAAGCTACTCCAGCTCCTACTAAATCTTCCTCACGGATTAAGGCCTTAGCCCAAGCTAAAGAGTTTGATGAACTCGGCTTAGGCGATGAACTCCAAAGCAACTCCTCTTCGCACGAAGATGAGGAACTTGACAATTCCTCTTCTACAATGGACGCTAATGATGTCACCATTCCAGTTGAGGTAACATCTCCTACTCCTAAAGTTGATTCTAATGAGGTTAATTCTCCTACTCCTAGAGTTGATGCTATGTGTACTATTATTGAAAATGTGGAAGTTGTTATTGAAAACCGAGACTTGGTTGTTATTCCTAATAATGTTGAGGCTGAAAAGGTTGATAAATCTGGGATTGATAACGTCTCTATTGATGGTAACACCAATGTTGATATGGCTTTGATACCTTGTAAGAAAATTGTTGTCAATGAAGCTCCACAAGACTTGAATGTGGGAAAAGAGGTCTCGGCCTCCCCATCTAATGTTGGGATGTCTCCTACTCCTATTGCTACACTTGATGTCCCTATCATTTCCCAAGAGGCTGATACACCTCCCTTGGATAATGTGGAACATGACACATCTAAGGGCATGGTTCCTTTGACCAAACATACTTCGGTTATCTCTAATGCCGCGGCATTACCCAAATCCCCTTGGGTTTCTCTTTTCAAAGATAACCGAAAAACTGAAAAGGGCATGAAGCTTAGGTACATTCAACCTGTTGGAGACTATGTGGACCTTTCTAATAGAAAGCTATCCTCCATGGTTGAAATATGGGGGTTTTGCCTTGTTGCCTATTTTGATGGTCGTTTTCCCGGTTTCAAGGCCATACATGACATGATGAATCATTGGAATGTCCCTTGTCAAGCCCGATCCCATGATAAAGGATGGGTTATCTTTAAATTTAAATGTGATGAGGATAGGGCGAAAGTCCTCATGGGTGGCCCTTACACTATTTTGGGAAAGACCTTCCCTTTGAAACCCCTTTCGGATGACTTTTCTATGGATAGTGAGGAGTTTTTAAAACTGCCCATTTGGGTCCAATTCCCTCATCTTCCAATGAGAATATGGGAGGAAGATATAATAAGTGAAATTGCTTCTAGAGTGGGTATTCCTTTGGCCACGGATGGGGTAACTCAAGAGAGAGTTAGATCTCATTTTGCTAGAGTTCTTATTGAGATTGATGCCTCCAAGGCCCCTCCTCTTGAGCTAAAAATCAAGCTGCCCAATGGCAAATTCCATACTCAATATGTTAGGTATGAAACATACCCTAACTATTGTTTCCATTGTAAAACGTATGGTCACCATGCTTTTACATGCAAAGTGTTGGCTGAAATAGAAAAGAAAAACAAGGAAGAGAAGGATGGCTCTAAAAAAGACTCTACTCTTGATGAGAGTAATGACAATCCTATTCCCGCACAAAGTAAAGGGAAAGAACCTTTGGCCTCGGATTCTCAAAGAAATGAGGGTTTCAAGGTTAAAAAGGGTGAACACCCCTTCCTTAGGGTAACTAGACATAGAAGAGGCTCTAACAAATATGTCCCCGAGGAGGATGAGGAAAAGTTTGATCCCCCTCCGAGGGATATGGACACCAACATTGATGATACTGTTTGGGTTCTCAAAACAACCCTTATTGATTCCTATACCGATGAGGTTGTGGTGGATATGGTACCTGATGAGGTTCCAAACCCCATCATCAAACTCAAGCATCATACCGAGGTTGATTTACCTACGGTTGAGCTTAATCAAAACCTTCGTATTGTTGATGACAAAGAATCCGGACTGATTTTTACCAAACAATGTTTGGAAAGTCTTCCCGGAGTAAAGCTTATTGAGAAGGACTATATTTACTCTCCAAAATTTATGAAAGGGGTCTATAGACATTACCTTAACAGGTATTATGAGAATGGTTGTCTTCAAGGCAACGGCTTTAAAGTTAAAGACCAAAGGAACCATACTCCTAACGATACTAGAATTGTTAATGATATTCGTGATGCTTTTCTTGATGATGTGATTGTTAAAGTTGACTTGCATAAAGATAAAGATAAGGCTCCAGATATTTATCTTAAACATCTTGGAGATGTTAAAGAATATATAACTAGACTTGATAATTATTTGGAGGTTATCACCGATACTATGAGTGTGGGCATCAATTTCACTAATGATTGCTTGAAATCTCTTCCCGGGATGTATCATTTGGACAAAGGTTATATGGTCTCCCATACCTTTATGGAGAATGTTTATTTTCTATTCTTGGACAGATATAAGCCACGGCCTAAAGTGTGGCTAAAAACGAGACAAAATGAGAAACTTAAGAGAGGAGAGGGGAGAAGAAATACATAATTGTTTTTATGTTTGTCTCCTCTTGGAATGTGAGAGGCCTTAACAAGGCCTCCAAACAAAATAACATCCTCTCTTTTGTGCGATCCCATAATGTGCATGTCATTTGTTTACTTGAGACTAAGATGACCACTCCTAACTTTGACAATATGATGTCCAATAGGTGGCCTAATTGGCACTCTATGACCAACTTTGACAGGATTGATGGGGGCAGAATGGCCCTCCTTTGGGACCCCTCTTTTGTGAACCTTAATGTCTTGGAGATTGACACGCAACATCTCCATTGTGAGATGGTCTGTAAGGTCACCCAAAACAGATTCTTTGTGACTTTTATCTATGCTCTCTACACGGTTGTGGAGAGAAGAGACCTTTGGGAACATATTGCTAATCTTGGTCCCAATATTAACTCTCCCTGGCTTGTTATGGGTGACTTTAACTGTGTGGGCAGTCCTAATGAGAGGATTGGGCCCACCCCTCCTTCGGCCTACTACATACAACACTTAAATGATTTCAAAATCCAAGCTAATCTTGTGGATTCTCCTTCCACTGGGGAATTTCTTACTTGGAATAGAGGCTCGCTCTGGGCTAAACTGGATAGAGCTCTCATAAACTCTTTGTGGGCTACTCACAACATTACTTGTAATACTCACTTCTTTGAGATGGAAGTTGAGTTTGACCATTGTGCTGTGCTTACTACTATTGGGCATAACTCTATTGATGGGTCTAGGCCCTTCAAGTTTTTTAACATGTGGCTGAAGCATGAGGCTTTTAATAGCATCCTTACCTCTTCCTGGCACCAAGACATCTATGGTACTCCCCAATTTAGGCTTGTACGTAAGCTCAAAAGGCTTAAACAGCCTTTGAAAGAGCTTAACTACAATGCTTTTAGCCACATTTCCGAAAGGGCTAAAGAGGCTAAGAAAGAATATAAGAGGGTCCACGCTCTCTTACTTCTTTCCCCTCTTGATGAATCTATTAAACGTGAGGTAGCTATGGCCAAGAAGAGTGCACTCTATTTCAAAAGAGCTGAAGAGGATTTCTTTAGACAAAAGGCTAAGGCCTACCATCTTTTGCATAGTGACCGTGGCACCAAATACTTCCATTCTATTGTCAAGAAGAATGTGGCAAAAAACTCCATTACTTCTATTAAACTAGAAAATGGTGATTCCACCACTTCCTTGAACCATGTTGCTTGTGAATTTGTTAGGTTCTACACTGATTTGTTTGGCTCTTCCTATCCTAATATGGCTATCGACCCTGACATTATCCTTTCTGGGAAATGCTTGGATAATACTAAAGCTAATGAGATTATGAATCCCATTTCTGATAATGAGATCAAAGATGCCATTTTTGATATTGGGGACAATAAATCCCCCGGGCCTGATGGCTATACTTCGGCCTTCTTTAAACACAATTGGAATGATGTGGGTCATGATGTTATTTTAGCTGTGAGAGGTTTTTTCAACTCCGGTAAAATTCTCAAGCAGATAAACCATACGGTTATTGCTCTTATTCCTAAGACCTCTCATGACCCCACTGCGGCTGACTTTAGGCCTATTGCTTGCACTAATGTGATCTACAAAACCATCACCAAGATCATTGCTTCTAGAATGATCCCTTGTCTGCCTGGGCTTATTGATCCTGCCCAAGGGGCATTTGTTAATGGGAGACTAATGCTTGATAATGTTTTCTTGGCCCAAGAACTTATTAAAGGGTATTCTAGGAAGCATATGTCTCCTAGATCAATGATCAAGGTGGATCTTAGAAAAGCTTATGATACCATATCTTGGGACTTTCTGAATGATGTGCTTTTAACCATTGGTTTCCCAAACAGATTTGTTAAGTGGATTATGGAATGTGTTTCAACACCTTCCTTTTCTATCTCTATTAATGGGATCCTTCACGGGAACATCAAAGGAAAGAGGGGGCTGCGGCAAGGGGACCCCATGTCCCCCCTCCTCTTTGTGATCTGCCTTGAATACTTTTCTAGACTCCTCCATGTTAGAACCAAGGCCCCCACTTTTAAGTTCCACCCCAAGTGTGGTAAACTTAATATTTCTCATGTGGCCTACGCTGATGATTTGATGCTCTTTTCTAGAGGGGACTACCCCTCTATAAAAGTTCTTGTTGATACTTTGGATGAATTTGGAAAGGTTTCTGGCCTTCAAGTTAACTCTGAAAAGTCCAGTATTTTCCTTGGTGGCCTAGCTGATTATGACATTAATTACATCCTTCATATGATTGATTTTAAGGAGGGAACTTTTCCTGTGAGATATCTGGGCATTCCTCTTGCCCCTTTAAAAATTGCGGTGGCACAATATGCCCCATTGCTAGACTCTATTACCAACTTTATCAATGCTTGGAATACTAAAAGCCTTTCCTATGCTGGGAGAGTTGAGCTTATCAAGTCTGTCATTCAGGGTGTCCAATCCTTTTGGCTACAAGCACTCCCTATTCCTAAGGCAGTACTTGATAGAATCACTTCTATCTGTCGTATTTTCCTTTGGGGGTGCAAGTATGCTAGGGTTGCCTGGGCTGATATGTGCCTCCCTTTGGAGGAAGGTGGGCTTGGTATTCATGACACACATGTCTGGAATTCTGCGCTTTTAGCTAAAACCCTTTGGGACATCCATGTTAAGAAGGATAATCTTTGGGTTCGTTGGGTCCATGGGGTGTACCTTAATGGCAGAGGTGTTTGGGAGTTCACACCTCATAAAAGGGACTCCCAATTGATAAAGAAGATTGCACTTATTAGGGATCAGATCCTCTCACATTTTGATAGCACTCAAACTGCCATTAATCATCTTAATGGACTTCAAGTTGATGGGAAGTTGATCTCGGCCAAGGTGTATGATTTGATTAGAGTAAAGGGTGTTACTCGGGTTTGGATGCCTTTCATTTGGAAGCATTATATCCCCCCAAAGTTCTCTTTCACGGTTTGGTTAGCTTTCCGTAATCGCCTTGCTACTTTTGATAATTTGCATAGATTAAATGTGGTTAACATATGTCCTTTGTGTAAGGGTGGTCCCGAATCTGCACCACACCTATTTTTTGCTTGCCCTTTTTCAGGTGAAGTGTGGCGTAAGGTGACAACGTGGCTGGGAATCCCAAGAGAGATGAGGACCATGCATAGCTCACTCAAATGGATCAAGAAGGAAAGGCAAGGATCGGGGATCAGAGCTAAGGCAGCTAGGATTGCTTTTTGCTTTTCCATTTATTGGATTTGGAGGACTCGGAACGCTACCTGTTTTGATGGTTTGCTGCCAAAGGAAGATGATATTTTTGCTAGAATCCAGTATATCACCTATAAGATCCTTTATAGCCTCTATCCTTATGAAAATGTAATCCTTTAAGTGTTGCTTTCCTTGTTCTGACCATCACTCTGTTTTGGTGATTGGTGTTGTTGTTTTGCCGGCTGTTTTTAGCCTAATTTGTTGCTGCACCACGGCTGTTTTGGTTGGTGTTAGCTGCTTTGGAGCAGGTTGTTGCTTGGTTTTGGGAAGGGTTATCCTTGTTGGATAACCTACAGTTTTGTTTTCCCTTTCCTTGTTTGTACATTCTTGTAACCCCCCCTTTCTCTTGGGTGTCTTTTTAATATACTTACATTTCACCCAAAAAAAATTAAAAAACACTGATATGAAGAATAACATTTGTTGTAAACATGTATAAAAATCATTGTTTTAACATTTGTTGAAATTAAATACTATGTGAATACGTTTAAAACAAATATGAATGGTACCACAGTAAATGTTACTTTTGTATCTAAAATTGAGCATCTAATGCGTAATACACAATGGTCAAATAAAAGCTCAAAGATCAACCATCACTCAGACACAAAAATATGATGTTACAGTGAAAGTTTATGAATCATAAAAGTACAAAATAAAGTTATACTCCGTACAATATAGAAGTATGGAATGTATAAACATTAAATAATGAAATCAAACCCAAAATTTTAAGATTATATGTTTTTTCTTAAACGCAAAATAATATAGTAAATCATGAAACTTAATTTGAGTAGTTTTGTGCTCGTACGTCAATTCGCTCTTAATTTGTTTGAGATTAAATCTACGTGTTCACGTTAATTGTGTTGGATTAGAATAATTAGACAGTAGCTTAGTTCTGGGAGATTTGAATGACATACGATATGATGACATGTGTTCGAATAGTCTTAGTGGAGTTGTTTTGATTTTTAAATTTTTTATCCGTGTTCTGTAATTATTCCCACACTGGAACTGATAGCAAAATCGGTTAAAATCGCGATTTTGAGTGATTTTGATCGATTTTAATTTGATTTTGAACGATTTTTGTGAAATCCAATTTAGCATGCGATTTGAATCGGTATTATAACAATGAATCGTAAAATCGTACGATTTTACGAGTTAAACCGATTTTAACAGCCTTGGTTAAACCCAGAAAACCGTCCTTTTTGCCATCCACTATTCTAATACAGTTATGCATATCACCAATTTCAAACATATGTATACCCTATGAGAAACATGTTATTCTAATAGTTTAAAAGATCACCATATCTAGATGTACATAGTTTAAAAGAAAGAAGAGTTAAATAGAGGAACATGTTATTCTAATAGAAAATTAATATTCTAAAAGGTGATATTAGTAACCAGTTCAGGATCATTTAGAAAAAATTAAGATTATTTTCACATCCTTTTTAAAATGAACATGTATAAAAAACTACTCACGTTAGTATATAGAAAATTGTCTTCAAAGCACTCCAGAAATATTAACAAAGAAAACTTTTTAAAAAAATCAAATGAGCATTTCAGAATAACCAACTAAGCATTTAAGAATAACGAACGTGATCATTTCGGGAAGAGTAGCCATGATGTAAATATAAGCTTTTGGCAGCCAAATTATACACTCATCGAAGAGGAATTTCATCAACCAGCTTTAGAGCTTCGAGATACATTTCATTAAGCGGCAACGTCTTTACCTTTCCTAATTGAATTGATGTATCAAGCAATTAGCCATAACAGAGAATGGCCCAAACCTCAAATACCTCTTTTGTGCTTTTTCCAAAACATTTGCAAACAAAGGGATTGACTATAGCTAGATAGTTACCCTTATTTGTTTCTCTATGCGCTTATTGAAAATTATAGGATGCAACTATTTTTTCTGCTTGAGCACATTTCATATCATGTTTATGTGCTTCTTAATTTGTTCCAACTATTTTAAAATGTAATTGATGATGTCCTTAAATTTGGTCTTCGAGTAATTATAGTGCTGAAAACCCCCAGTTATTTTTCAATTTATATTAGAATAAATCCCACTTTTGGTCCTACGAGTTGTAGGTCAATTCTACATTTAGTCCACATCTTTCACTTTGTCCACTTTTGATACATAACTACTGTATTTTCGCCCATATATGGTCCTTCCGACATTGTTTACGATGGTTAAAACCACCAGAAAAGGACCACAAATGGTTCAAACACATTAGTCTAATACTAAAAGTGGACAAAGTGAAAGATGTGGACTAAATGTGGAATTGACACAAAACTCGTAGGACCAAAAGTGGAATTTATTCTTTATATTAGAAAGTAATAATACTGAAAATCCGAAAATTCTAAAGGGAAAAATAATTTGTAGCAGATTTTATCTAAAGGCCAAGGGTGCATATCTAGGTTAGAGCAAAGTTATGAGGGAATGCTCTAAAGAAGTACAAAGACAAAAAACCAAAGTTGTTTATACATGTTTTTCTAAGAGAACAAAATATCTAATTTTATTTTACCATTCGACTGATGCGTGCATAGTGCTGGTCTGAAGAAAGATATCATCTTTTTTTCCTCGAGATCATTATCACAACCTCACTCGCAGTGAGTAGATCAGATTCAGAACATAATGACGAAGTGGAAGAGTTAGAAGTACTTACATCGTCATATGAACCTTTGTCCTCAGCTGAAAGTGCAGCCACATGTTCATTCTCAACTTCTTCCTTTTCTTCCTCAACCATGGCCATCAGCGCCAGGTTGACCTCTTCCTCATCAGATGAAACATCCATCCAATGGTCCTTCTCAGCCGTTAAAGCAATTTTACTTCCATCCTCCCCCATGGCTAGCAACAGCTTCTTCTTGTTCAATTGAACTTTTTGCTTATTGTATTCAACATCCTTCCTTCTCTTTGGCAACCTGCAGTCCTTATGAGATGTCCCAACTTTCCACAGTTGAAGCACTTGGGAGGATCCTCAGCATCCAGAGCATCAGATGTATCAAAATGGTCTTTCCTTCCGCTTGGTGTTGATAGAGGACTTGCGAAGTCTGTTACAAGTGGAGTTCTTCTTCTTAAAGATCTGTTCTTTAAACCCAAAAGTTAGGAGTGCCAGCTGCTTTTGGAAGTCCATGAGTTCATCATCAGTACCATCATCAAAATCTACTTCACTTTCTTCAGTCTCATGAGCGATAGCCTTCATCTTCTCTTTCTGGGTCTTGGAAGCTGATTTGGAGGATCTTTCAAGCATAGAAGCTAAGGTGTCATCCAGCTTGTCCACAGTTGCTTTACCTTTCTCACCAACAACACTCACAGAATTAGAAAAAAACATTAGCATATTGGTCAAAAGTGTTGTAGATCGCATGAATATCCATCTCCTCCAAATCTTTAGTGTGTCAGATGTGAGAACACAACTTCCTCTGCTCAGGGCAAGGGATGACAGGAATCTCACATTCAACTCCATGTTGGATTTATGAATGGTGATCTTCCTCATCTTGTTGATCAACCTCAGATATCAAATGTAGGTATCCTCTAGCAATTCTCCTAGCTTTGCTTTGAACGAGTCATAAACAGTGAATGTGTTTGCCTTTTTAGCTTTCACTCCAATTTCAGTTCCTCGCATGATCTTGAAAAACTCATCCCACATCTCCTTTGCAGTTGACATGATGTCAATCTGCATGTAGATGTCATTCGGGATAGCGTGTAATAGATAAGGCTTGGCAAGTAGGTCAACAAGGATTCTGATACGATCATGTTCATCATATTTTTCTTGGGAAAACTATCAAATAAGCCCCCATACTCTACCGAAAAAGTCGATTAGTCCCTCGTACTTTACAAACACTCAATTAAGTCCTCGAACTATTAAAAAAACGTTCAATTAAGCCCTTTTGGTCAGTAAGTAACCGGTTTCCCGGTTAAATGTTACCCGTTTCCCGGCAGCCACCGTTGCTGGAGTCCGAGCACATCGTCGTCGTCGTCGTCGTTTAACCGGGAAACCAGTTACTTACCGACCAAAGGGGCTTAATTGAACGTTTTTTAATAGTTTGGGAACTTAATTGAGTGTTTGTAAAGTACGAGGGCCTAATCGACTTTTTCGGTATAGTACAGGGGCTTATTTGACAGTTTCCCTATTTTTCTCCTGTCTTCAGTTTCTGTGTGTCACCAACGGGGGGGGGGGGGGGGGGGGGGGGTCTCGGGATTTCCTTCCATAGCTATCCACATCTGGGCTAGACCGTTAGTGATTGGGTCCAACAAACCAGAAGAGTGGTCTTTGCTTTCCAGAAAGATCAATAATCTGTTCTTCCACACCATGTACTCATGCTTCGTAGAATGGGTGGTCTGGTGTCATTTTCGATTGATAGAGCTTCCATGTTATTGTTGATCGATCTGATCAGTTGATTGACTAAAGGAGATGTTTTTGCAAAGTATAGGTTTGCGCACGAAGCAGGTGATGCGCGAAGCAGGGATCACGCACAGAAACTGATGCGCGAAGCAAGGGTTAGCGCATGAAGTGTTTCACACATAGTTGAGGTTCACACACTGAGAGTTTCACACACAAGTACTCATGCGCTAAACCTTGTTTCAAGCACATAGTGTTGCACTAAACTAAAACTTTGCGTTGGGAAGCCTTGAAACTTGTACGCAACCAAATTTTATGCGGATGATGCAGAAAATGATGTCGAACTAATGGTATTCATCATCCAGCACTAATAATGACTTTTTAACCTACAAAAATGACAAAACAGAAACAACATCAAGTTCGTGCATGAGGCGGAGAAATTTGAGCACAGATGTTTTTCTTCAGCGTCAATCTTCCGATCAGCTATGGCTCTGATACCAGGTGTTTGGTCCATGTTTTCTGTGAATAGATTTTCTTTGATAGAAGAAGTTTACAAAATGATGAAGCAAAATGCAGCGTAAAACTTCTTCTAGTCTCTCTCTCTCAGAAATATTTGGCGCATGGAATAAATAGAGAGGCGTTGGAAATCTGTCCCATCCATTCCTTTAAAGGAATATTTATAACTTAGGGAATGTTTATGTCATCACAATGATTGGACTTTTATTATTAGTGTAACCCATATATTCCTTTACACCTTTATCCCGTTCTAGTCTATTTAATACTAACTTAAATACAACAAGAGACATTTGATAATTAAGACATTTATCACAATAAGATATCTCTAATAGGTGCAAACTTATTGAGTAAAAGAACTTTAATCACGAGGAAGTTGAAATCCATTGACATGTGATATTCCTAAAGAGTATGAAGGTAGTAGCATAACATTACTTGAGTGAGAGGGAAATGAAAAAAAATCTTTGGACTTGTTGGGATATTAGGATCCAGCCCAATAGGCCGGCCAAGAATATCCCTAAGGCCCAAGAGCATGGAAAAAACCCAAAGGAGATCCAGCGGAGCAAGGAGCTTCCGAACGGGGTCGGATCAACTGGT